TGGGGGAAGAATTGTGGGAGTGAGTAAAGCCCAGCACTATATTTGATACATTTATGTTACGATCGTGCTAAATACAGCGTTTTAGACTTTATTATGAACCGTAAATGGTTCAAGGCAAATGAGGGGGGGGGACTTTCGACAAGCCGCCGGCTTCCTGTCCTCGTCAAGGCCACTAGTGTTTGTGGCTCAGGTAATTACGTGATAAATGATTACATCATTTGCTTCAATTATCATTTGTCTAGCCAATTGACACTGATCATTTGTTATTATTGCATTTTACTGACAAATCTTTAAAAGATATTGCAGATAATAACTTTATTTACAATGAACATAATGAATTGTTATGTTCGGAAGCCGCCCTGAAAAAGTTCCAACCTGAAAATCCTGGCAGCAATTCTTTTCAAATCTGACGAATTATAACCTAAGAAAATTAAACCACGTGACTTTCATATATTATTTACGACGACGTTTCGGTCCGTCCTGGACCATTCTCAAGTCGACTTGAGAATGGTCCAGGACGGACCGAAACGTCGTCGTCCCTTCACCTTCTAGTGTGTGGTCTGGTCAACATATTTCAGCCACGTTATTGTGACTCCTCGTCTCCTTCTTATGTTCCTTATTTCTGTTGAATTTCGCGTTAGGCTACCGCCGCCTACAGTGAGGTGCAGTGGTCTGCGTCCTCCATTCACATCCGATTATAGGGAAGGGGAGGGGGGGATTCGATCCCTGGACGGGGCAGAGACGATTGGGCAAGTTTTGTTTCAACTGACATGGCTGTTTACCTAGAAATAAATAGGTATACATTGGAGTTACACAACTGTTGTTTGTTGCATCCCGGGACCTGGAAAAGCCTAACAGGCTTCCTGTCCATGACTTTACTATGGGAACAATAAAGTGATCCATAATTAACAAGATTAACCTTATCAGCCGTGTTGTAATGCTTATTAATGGTGATGTGTCGTTATGTGATAATGGCACTTTATGACTGTGATAATGGCAACTTAGTGTCTGCTATAATTTATCAAAATTATTTATCATGTATTATTACTATAATTCATTATATCTGGGGACAGGCAGCCAGTGCATATGTACATGTTAGGCTTCTATCGGGCACTTCCCTCACCCCCCCCCCTCCCAAGGTCGAACTACATACCCTCCCCTGGGTACTGACCAGCTTCTGGGTACCTATTTACTACAAGGTGAACAGAGGAATTAGACGATAGGAATTGTGCCCAACCTTTTCGGTCCCGCCCGAGACTCGAACCCGGAATTCCCGAATGTGCAGCATTACTACCTATCCGAGACGGTACAAGGCGGCCATCAACCTCCTGAGCCAGATGATTTAGAAGTTAAAAGTCTCCCGCGTGAACACGCGGTGGAGCCGCCCCTCCCACCCCACCGGAAACTGCGTCATCACCCCGAAGTAAACAACCCCCTAATACGGGGAGTAAAGAAACGGCGGAAGTAAATAAAAATAAATCTTCAAAGACAGTAATAATAGCGGAAGTACATGAACATTTAAGTGAAGTGAAGGAACAATTGCTTTGGTGAACGAGAAGCAGCGAAAGGTAACGAAGTACAAGCGACAGTGTACGAATTACACTGCAGGTTAACGAAAATTTACAGGCGTGAATGAATACAAGAGGAAGTACAGGCAAACAAGTAACAGTTGAAGTTAATTGACAGCAGCAGAAGGTACTAACTAAAGCGAAAGTTAAACATAAGACAGCCTAACAACACCGGAAGTGAATCAAAATCTGAATTATGGGGAGCGAGAGGTGTTGCCAGACATGGATCACCATATTAGCATATCCCTTTTTAGCACCGTTCGGAAATAATAATCATCATTAAAATATGTTTTATGCATGTTAATTATCAGTTCATTAAGATTTGTTTTTCAAATAGAGAGCGATGATTTTTGTTCTTGTTCAACATCCAATGAACTGAAAATAGGATTAGCGATGTCAGCCGAATAGATTGTACCAATAGATTGGTACTATTTTTAGATGCTGATATGAAGGCCGATGCTTTGTGGTGATTTGACGCTGGAAAACGGTGGTGGGTGGGGAAAGGCTCGGGGATGGAAGAAGAGATTGTATTGTAAGGGAGCTTATGACGGCATCACTTTGACTATTTATATCTTTGCCTCTTCCCCTTTACCCTTCTCTCTCTCTCTCTCTCTCTCCCTCTCTCTCTCTTTCCCACTCCCTCGCCTTTCTTTCTCTCGTCCTATAACCCCTCTCTAACTCCTTTGCCATCCCGCCTTCTGTTCGTCCAGCAACTGTCAATTTTCCTAGTGAAACGCACAATCTTGACGGAACAAGAATTTAAGTAATCAAAGTTTGTATAGTTTCATAATAGTGTACTTTCTCTTGAGCGGGTGTGCAGCTTAGCGAAGGCTTTAACGTTTCGTAATTATCGAAATAAGTAATTTTAGGTTATTTTGTTTTCTTCTTGCTGTTTACCAGCAAATTTCAGTCTTCATTCGCAATTCATCATCTCAGAGTCGGTCCTACAATTAACTATTGAAGTGTTGCTAGTTACATGCTTGTGTACTCGCCTGTACCGACAGACGTTAGCTCTTGAACCCCGCCTCTGAACCTTCAACTGACTTGTGTACAGATTTCCTAACACTTTGTTCTCCGTTATATGAACATTTGAAGCCATGTATGGAGTCCGCTTCCATCGGTTCACATTCTACTCCATTCTATTTTTGAAATAGAACGGTATCGGGAAAAATCGTTCAAATAACTTCGTGGCCCTTTCTAGTACTGTGCATAAATTCCACACGTCTTCCCTTATTCCCATACCACCCATGTAAATAGTTTGTCCTTATCCACCTTGTCAATGCTCGGATAATTTGTCATGTGATCCTATTTACCCCTCGGTTCTTCTCGCGTCCAATATCAAGACAATTTAGTTTTGTTAGTCTTTCATTAAACTCGAGCGCGCATATGTGTGTATATACTTGCTTAATTACCAACCAAATTTCCACACAAACCCGTGGAAAATACCATCCGTGTTAAATAATCTAACCTGACAATTCCTGTGTGTGTGTGTGTGTGTGTGTGTGTGTGTGTGTGTGTGTGTGTGTGTGTGTGTGTGTGTGTGTGTGTGTGCGTGAGAAAGAGGAACAAGAGCCAGAATGCGGGTGCGCGTGCATGTGTGTGTGGGTGCACGTGGGTATCCTGGGAACAAGAGAAAGTATGCGGGTGTGTACGCTGTTTGGAAGGAACGTTGGGGTGGGGTTGGTGGTGCTGCCCGCATCGCAAACACTCAATATTATTTCCCCCAGCACCGTACTGCCTTCAACACTTCATCTCTCTCCACCTCCAAACCCTCCCAAATTTATTTCTACTTTCTCTTAATATTTCCGTCCCTCTCTCATTGCCAATGTATACGGGGCAATTTCCGGCTATCCTTAAGACATCATAATTGCTGACAAAGGGACAGAGAAAGTGCAAAATGAAGGATGTAGAAAAGAGATCGATGAGAGGGGGAGTTCAACTAGTTTATGTTCTCTAACATTGGCTGCACACTTAAGGCGAGGACTGTAACGTCGTTTCAAGCTAAACTTTTACAACATTTAGTATAAAAATGAAGATTATTTTAATGAAATTAATAACGATGACCAAAGAATTATAATACCAATAATAAGATAATGACCAAAGAATTATAATACCAATAATGAGATAATGACCAAAGAATTATAATACCAATAATGAGATAATGACCAAAGAATTATAATACCAATAATGAGAATACAAATTAAATGTAATCATTGTATAAACAATGCAGAAGTGCACAAATGCGTGAGAAAGTACAATCATTTTGTACAATCCATTTACAATGTGGTAACGTTGGGTGTCAAGAATCAGTCACCTTAGTGCTGGTCTTACTTAAACTGCGACCCTCTCTTGCGTTTGTTCACCGAGCGGCTTCAAAGTAATTATACACTTCCGCCCATCATGTCCACATCTGGTCCTCAGTAATATCGGGTCCCTGCGAGTGGGTGCGGTGTTTCCTCCACCTGCCCAGTGAATTTGATCTTGGTGCATTTTTTGCACATTAATTGTCAGTTGTTAATTTCTTTGCACGCCATCACTTTAGTGCTATGTATATATATGTTTTGATGGAGTGATGTTACTTACCTCCATGTTGTACCTGATATTTATTAATAATTTTGTTTCGTTAACTATAAAATAACTAGATGTTTGGGCAGTTATAGTGACCGTGTGTCACTATACGGTAGAGCATTTATCAAAAGCCTAAGGCATAATAATGTACATGTGGGATGCGAATGATTAAATTCTTATGGTCGGGTCAGAGTTACTCGTAACCGATAGCCACGCCATTGAGGTTCTTCTCCTTATGTAAATATTGTTACAATTAATGATACTCTTTTTTTTACATATCAGCTGTGAATTCCGTTTGGTCCTTACAAGCTAGAACTCGGCTTTTATTTCTGCACGGCCTTTATTGCTTTCATGTGTAACTATACGCGGCAACATATATATATAAATATATAATTATATATAAACGCAATACTCATTGAAAAGTAGTTTATCATAGTGACGGTATGTTTTGGTCACAACCTATTGTGAAAACGAATTTTAAAATTTGATGTATTTAGGATAATGAATAGGTTGGCCCGACACGTCTTGCATAGCATCAAGACTAAAGAATGATCTGTATATCGTAGTTGAACTGTAATTGCCATGATTTAAAAAATCTTTCAGTATAATATAGCTTGTTAAAGTAAAAATGTGATTTTGGTATTATAAATATTTTCTATGACATTCGATTTTCATATGGTGGCGAATTTCTATGAGTTTTTTCAATGGGAATTGTCATACCTGGTGGTAAATTTCCGAGCACATTACAACTTTTTATTTTTTATTGCGAATGACTATTTCCTTCAGTTTCATCTTTTATTAATAATATCATTACCATGTGTTTATTATTAATATTACTAGTAGTACTATTATTATTATTTCCAGGTATGCAGCCGTGTGCCTGCGACTCTCGCCCGCGGACCCGGAAGGTGACTACACAGCCGTGTCAGTAGGGCCGGATTGATGTTCAGTCAAGGAGAGCCGAATGCTGGAGCGTGGCAGAAAGGCTCACCACAGCCAAGAAAACGCGAGGTGTTGAGGCTGGGCTGTGTGGCAGCACTCACTCATTACGTTAACAATAGGTTTTTAGGTGGGGCAGCCACACTGAGAACGTGAGGGACCGAGACAAGGCTACTAGACACTACGATGAAAACCCCATAATTGGTCTCCCTCCGGTAACTCATTTTGAACTTAGACAAAGAGGATTTGTTTTTACGAAATACCATTTTCCTTCAGAAAGGACAAATTGAGGTCATCCCTCAGATGTGAAGATGTTGACGCAGCTCGAGCTGTTTAATGCCACTGAGGGACTCGGAGGAGACGACGACAGTGGCATGTCCGTCGTCTCGCCGCTGGATGGACTGACCGAGTACCCTATGGAGCAGGCGGAATTTGAGTACTTTGAACCCAGTTTACCCACTGACTCCTTCTATGATGTGCCTCAGTCCCAGGATCTCCACCAGACGCTGCCGCCACCGCCTGAAGGAACTCCTACGGCAACGTTCAACACCCCTGTGTACGACCCCAATTGCTACGACTCTACTAACACCATCATCTACGATCAGGACGACATGGTAGCACCTTTCACCAATGAGGTCGCAGCCTTCAACGATGACCTTAAGTCCCCGAACGACATTACCTCCTACGAAGACGAGATCAAGACAGAGTTGAAGTTCAGCGAAGACATGGGCTATGACGGGTTCTCCGAGAGCCTGTACGAGAGCAGCTTGGGAGCCCCCGAGGCTCACACGGAGACTCTGGGGTTCGAGAGCGTGTGTGGCGCCTTCGATGACGACCAGGTTACTACAAAAGACGAAGCCTACAGCAGGACATGGGAGGAAGGTGTGGCTTTTGTAGTTGCTCTTATTGTTGTTTATTCTCGTTGAAAATACAAACATAAGTAATCATAAAAATTTATTTTAAAATATATCATATATATATTATGTGTAAATATTGTGTATATTATGTGTGTAAATCACAAAGAAATTAACACGTGATGAACAATGTGACAGTGTCAGACCACGAAGGAAGGATTAAGACAGGAATTTCCTTAAGTACTTTCGTATATTAATACATCTTCAGAAGGAATGATCATCATCGTTTCATCATTCCTTCTGAAGATGTATTAATATTCGAAAGTACTTAAGGAAATTCCTGTTTCAATTCTTCCTCCGTGGTCTGACACTGTCATTACATATATATTATATATATATATATATATATATATATATATATATATATATATATATATATATATATATATATATATATATAATATATATATATATATATATATATTATATACATATATTATATATGTGTGTATATCACGAAAATAAACACGTGATTAAGAATGTGACAATGTCAGACCTTCTGAAGATGTATTTAATATACGAAAGTACTTAAGGAAATTTCCTGTTTCATTTTTCCTCCGTGGTCTGACATTGTCATATATTATATATATATATATATATTATATATATATATATATATATATATATATATATATATATATTTTCAAAGACTTTAGTTTACACATACACAACTGAATAGAACTTACACATCTCCGATTTGTTTATATCTACATTTGAGTGAGGTGGTATTAATAGGGTATTAAATTCATCAAGTGAATTTAACTTGATGAATTTAATACCCTATTAATACCACCTCACCCCATCCACCTCACTCAAATGTAGATATAGATATATATATAGATATATATTATATATTATATATATATATATATATATATATATATATAGATATATATTATATATATATATATATATATATATATATATATATATATATATATATATGAAAGAAAGAGAGAGAGAGCCTAGTTTGGGGTCTAGATTTTTTTTTGTCATCAACACGGAAATAAAGCATACGATATGAAAGCAAATGAAATTTAAATAATAAGTGCTCTTTATATCCTCATCCACGAATATTTTACAGGTTCTGGCAAAGGGAAGATCGGTCCACTACAGAGACGGGCTCTGGACTCCATCTTCAGCGTCACAGATAAGCCATCACGCGGATTAGTGCTGCACATTGCCTCGGAGTTGGGACTCCATCATCTCACTGTCAAGAATTTCTTCTCTAATGGCCGCAGGCGGCTACGGCGGGCAGCAGCAAGACTCAACGACCCGGAACGCAGCAGGCGGGAAAATGAACGGCGGAAAGAGAAGCGTCGTTTAGCCGCCCTTTCCTCTGCACTGTCCATAGGTGATGGCAAGGTGGCAGCAGTTGTCGCTAGAGTAACATCGCCTCAGACGCCTCCCGCTGACTCCCCGCCTCCCAAAGAAACGCCAGTGGTATCGCCTCAACGCAAAGCTCTCATGGAGAAGCTGGCAGACAAGGTGCAGAGGAGCGTGGCGCAGCGCTCCCTGGCTGCAGACCTCGACCTACTCCGCTCAAATTCCTCACAGACTCTAATGAATCAAAACTCACACATCTTCCTCTCACATTCCTCACAAGAAATCCTGACACAACCTCCAAATGATATCCTGTCGCAGGCATCACATGACATCTTGACACAAACCACTCATGATCTACTGACACCCTCACCCCACGATTTTCTTACCCAGTCGCCTCAAGAGCTCATAGACCATAGATCGACTCCTCCGTCGTTATTACAGCCACACACTGATCCATGGGGCTTGTTCTGATCTCACAAGCTTTACCTCGCCTAAATGAGCCTAAGGTCTCCAAACACAATGGTGTTCCATTTGGCCCACAACCTCGCATATTCCTTATATTGGTTTTACATCACTGATCCACAACAGCCTCAGCGATGCGGGAGATCAGTCATGCACAATGTGTTCTTTTTAACCCACACGATACACTTCTATAGCGAGTTATTGTAACTTTACTCTCGGTAATAACCTCCTGTATGTGCCTTCAAGTTCAAGTATGTTTATTGAGATAAGCAATAAATACATCTCAAAGGGATAGAGTAGCTTAGGCTATTTCTACCCCCCTGTATGTGCCTTAATTTGCCATGAGGTGCCTCTACGCGTGTCTCTAATTTTGATGTAAAAAACCCACAAACAACTCTTACCTCCACACACGTTTCTGAGGCAGTTGCCGTCTTCGCAAATGATGTCATTTGCCTCAAGTCAGCGGGTCTTCTGGCTCAGGTGAAGGCAAGTCTCTCGCGTTCTTTATACTTTAACGATTCGAATTATTATGCACTATGTTCATTCAGACTATTATACATACCCCTAGATTCATTAAGCATGCCGATTTAATATGTGCACCCCCAGATCAATGTATCTGGCTACTCAGGTGAACGCATATGGCCTAATTCAGTGATACTACTGATTCAGGTAAAGCCTAACGTGCCCTAAGTCATTGATGTGCTCAGAGTGGAGCAACTCTCAAGCCTCAGTAAACGGGTCTTCAGCGACTCAAGTGATATTATGTAAACTAGTCAATGAAATATGTTAAGAATTATTTATGGGTCGAGTCAGAGAGGAATCTGTGTTTTGACTGCCACAAAGAAGCGGCAAAATATTGTTTTAACGAAGTCAAATGGAATAGCTTAAAATGTTTTAAAATGCTGATACTTTTTTTGTATTTCCCTTATTATTATTTATTTATTAAGTTTGAATGTAATTTTGTCTACATTGAAAATTGAATATAAACTGTAAATAAAATTTATGTTAATTATACAACTGTGTAGATAATGTATTTATTTCAGTTGACCCCACGCATATTAAATACAAAATGTCTTATTCTTTTTATTATAAATTAAGCCCAAATGCGCAGGATTGCATACGACTTTGCTTATGATTGTCTATCACTGGAAACCCTTCAAACAGACAGATATAAATTCCTGGTTTAGTGTTGGGCATAATGCACATCACATCAATTGTTATCAAGACAACAACAGCTCAATTTGTTAGGCAAATTTACCGTAAGCCCACATTCGCAGAATTTGGTTTGCATTGCCTTAGTTTTTGTACAATCAAAACTGTAATAACCAGAGCTTTTAATTTATGTTCGAATTATACATTATTTGATATTGAAGTTCTTGTACGAATTATTTGTTTCCAATGCATTTGATAGAATTCTGAGGCTTTATCCTTAATACCAAATTTATATCTATTGTCGGTCCCCCCCAGAAGTCAACCCAACAACAAGCTGACCTATAATAAATAGGTGGGTACCTATTTACTGCTAGGTGGACAGATGCATTAGGCGATAGGAAACGGGCCCCAACCATTTCTGTCCCGGATTCGAACCGAGAATTCTCGATTGTGTCGAAAACGAGCCCTACTATACCGGGACCGTTTATATTAAGATTGCTTATAATACCTAACCTAACCATCCTAGGCTATTAGGATGGTTAGGTTAGGCTGCAAATAGAAACTATTTGAAGCCTAATAGTACATGTATGTGTTATACTAAGCCTAGGAATATTAAAAGTTTGATATGTAAAATAATCTAGTTACAAAAAGTACCATCTAAACAGGAGGATGGGTTGGTCGTGTTTCACCATTGGAAACTATATAAAACGTAGAACTCCTCTACCCTTTGAGCTCAGACTGCATCTGTTTAAATGTTCGATATGAGGGAAATACCTCGCGAAACTTTCAACACCATATTTATGAGCATACATGGGGACATTTCTTACCTTACTGGTCTGTGCAGCCTCTGATATTGAGAGATCACGGCGAGGATAAGGGCCACCTTTTCACTGATAGAGATTTCACGGTTCTGTTTTGTATTCCGTCTCGCCCTCAACTCAACACCTCAGTGTCTCAGTGGCTGGAATGACACCAGAGTTGAACAGCTCAGAGTACAGTTACAGTCCCGCTCCTGTGGCAGGTAAGCTCACTACGGGCTCACAATAGACGGTGCTACTTGGAACTTTCCGAGTTGCTGAATCTTAAACAAAAACAGCAGCTCGGAGTCCTCGACTTTGTTGTTTACTCATTAATTGTCGTCTTCTCTGAAGTGTTGTTTGAGGTGTTTATCATTCTCTTTCTTGTGTATATATGTCTTTTATTTTATTTATATTTTACTTTAGGTTTTTAATATTTAACTATTCTAATTCATTTAATGAGTATATCATTCTGATTTATATAATAATAATAGTTCTGTGTCGGGGACAGGCAATCAGTGTACATAAAAAAAGATACAAACAAATATACACATAAAAGTGACGTCATCATTATACACAAAATGATTTACTGCAAAAGGCACATAGCCCATTTAACTGGGGGCAAATTATAGCCCCTCACTAAAAATATCAGCGTGTAGGTTTTTGAATGATTAGTAATCAAAGAAGTTGATGAAGGAATACAGCAACTTGAAGACCAAATTTGGTGATGTAATTTTTTTTCCTCGTAAAATATATGACAGAATTTCCGCCAAATAAGCCCAAGTTCACGTAATCCACTCTTGTTAATTCTGAAATAAAAAACAAACACATTCTCTCTTATAGGTACCGATGAATGTCGTACCTAATAGCCAGTTACACTACTTTACCTAGTAAACAAGGGCTAATTTGCTTAACAGTTAGTTTAGTCATTTATTATGCACCCCCGTATGTATCCCATGGGCAGTGGTGGCAAGAGTTAGAGGCACAAACTATGGTGTTCAGTACCTGTACCTGTACCCAGGCAGAACAACTTTCGTTACTTTGAAATATTTCTTTCAAAGTTGGTTCATTGTTACCAATATTAATATATTAAGAACATGGATTACTGACTTAGGTTTGGTCATATTTCTGTGTCGGTTTTGAGTCAAAACTGACAAACTAAATACTAATCATATATAATGTAACAAAGCTTTATCATTGACTTGGGAACTTCAATCCAAATTGCTATACTTAGGACCTGTAACTTATGTTGTGACTGCACCACAGGCATGGCAGTGAAGCTCTTCAAGGTAATCAGAAAGCACTGCAAGGTCAGTTTCTCAAGCATGGAGCTAGTGCTTGATTCATGAATATTCATAGTTAATTATCAGCAGGGGCAATATTTTATATATATATATAATCACCATTTAAAACTATGTTAAAGTATGATTTTGTATTCTCAAGATGCCAATACAAGAGCAGAGACACGAGCTTTGATAAATTATATGAACAGCGTAATGAAAAAGTATATAATGATAGTACATTTAAGGATTTTAAACGGAAACACATTAAGGTTGTTTTTAAAAGCTGAGTGACTGTGTGAGATCAAGACAATTTGGACAGATTCCATCAAATGACCACGAATCAACTAGGCTTGCTTGCATAGCCATCATATCAACAATGTTTCCCATTTCAAAATCTGATGAAGGTAAACATGAAATATCATGAATGATGGTAGAGTTTATTGTACAAAATTACCTACCCAACTGGTCTTTCCACACATTAATATTATTAAGATATTACCAAGCAAGTAACCTGTCAAATACACAAGTTCAGTAGCAGTCACGTGAGTGACTTGACTTTATTGGCATGTTCACTGGGCACATGGCTACAAATAAATGGTAAATACTGTAGAAGAAAATGCAAAGAAACAAAAATGTTGCACAAAATCCAATTTGTTCACCTTTATTGAGTTACAATGCAAGAAATCTTGCTCTTATAATTTGAAACACTAAACATTATAGACAAAGTTAGGAATAAAATTTACAAACTGTAACTAAACCTAGATACTGTACATGTAATTATTAATCTACCTAAGTATTCGTTTAATTTCTGTTATTAAAGCTAATTTACATCAAATAATGATCTAAAATACCAAATATTTTTCCTACATTGAAATTGGGTTAAAATATATCTTAAAATATTTGCAAAGTATATTTCTTGTAAATTTTCTGTTAATTACAGCATCCACAAAATATCATACCATGTCCTGTCCATAACTTAGGAAAGTTCAAGGAAATACAGTATGTTCATTCTTATACTTGTGACACTATGTTTGCAGTGATAATGAATCAGATGCTTAAAGCCTACTGGTACGGTCGAACATTGAAAATCCAAGGCGATTAGGCCGAGACACTTATCAATTCCTGAAATTTTAAAATTTTATATACAATACTATACTCAACACCTCCCTCCCTCACTCACCTTTCCTGTTGTGCTAGCCTGACATATGGTATAGCTTTTGAAAATATTTACCTAATATTTGTTAAAAGTAAATTTGATAGTATAAGCTTATTTATTGACATACCAAGGATTATTCATGTAAGCTGGGAGTGACAGTTTTATTTAAAGCTTAAACATCTTGCAGTACAGCAGTGAACTGCTAGTGCTTTGTAACTCGCACCACTACAACCATCTCTGCACATGATAAGTCATAACAGCAAAAATCCAGAGATATTTTTTGCATTTTTATTTGATAATACTGTATATATAACATCTGTCATTCCTTCTGAAATTTTTAGTATTTTTTTTCTAATGTTGTTCAACAGTATCGGTGTTCCAGTCAACACACTTAAATTGACAATTGGTATTTGTGATACTGTAATTTGAATGCATGCAAATTGAATATAACTTGGATACAGCTAGATTAAATTTGCAGAGTACATCACCACATGTAAGCTACAGTCCATCTGTATGTTTCTTACAAACAGAAAGTATATTGCTTAAGATGAAATACTTTCTACATTATCCAGCAAACTTTTAGATTTTGGTGGTGTATAGCTTGGGCTTAATGCTCGACCTCGGTGTGCAAACGTGTAGAATGTTGGTCTGTTTCCCACAGTTTCCCAGGACCTGCAAGGTAGAAAGATTATATATAACAATTTGCATAATTCTTTCCTTAATAAAAGTTAGGAAATTTGTTGAATTCCAGATGTTTACCCATATTAGCAAAAATTTACACAACTGTTAACATTTTATGATAGTGGCGTTAATTTTTCAACTACTGTACTGCATTTTAATTTTTGCAGATTTTGCACCAAATGAATAAGAAACACACATTACTTTGCCCCTACCCCACTTGGTACTCACCTGTGCATTACTTAACCACAAATCATATTTTTTGATGGGAATACATGTACAATAAATGCTAATAAAAAAACTTACTTATTCTGAAGCTGAACATTAGCCCGAATCTCCTTGAAATCTCCAGCAATGTGTAGGATGCCATACATTGTTAAGAGAAGGCTCAACAGACCTTGAACACCAATCTGAAACAATACCGAAAAGTGAAACTTAAGTTTGGCAAATGAGAGCACTGTACCCTGTACTATGAACAAACATTAAGATGTGGCCAGTTAAATTTCTTAGTGCACTATCTATTTTAAATGCTGTTTTCATGAAGCACGGCATATATATATATATATATATATATATATATATATATATATATATATATATATATAAAGCATATTTTTATTAGAAAGATAGCAAGTCAAACTTTCATAGAACATACTCTGATGATCGCAACATAAATTCTTATTCAACTAGAAATCACTGATACTATGCTTATTCAGTTACAGTATAAGCAATAGAATAAAAACAATAAAAATTAAGTTTATGAACTAAAAACCTTCTGTATTTCAACCTGCTACAAAGCCTTTCAACCCAGTTGCCATGTCTTTGCTTAATGCTTTGCAGTGAGTGCCTTTGCACTACAAGTTACTTTAGAAATACATGAGGTAGGCAAACTGAGCCCATTCTCTCTCAATGTAGCATCACTTGAAACCCTGAAAAAAGTGTGAAGTGTGAAAAACCCTGAAATACAGGCTGAGACAAAATGTATTATTTTAACCACTACTGACCACCATGCACAAAACCCTGCATATCGTTTACGTTATTTCTAATATACAGTACTTACGTCTGTTGGTAAAGAAGTATACTCCTGTTCTGTGACTCTCATATATGCTCGATCTATGCACCAAAGGATGGTCATCATGCCGTCGTCAATATCATGAAAGAAAAGAATGCATGCAAATTGAATATAAACATTGCAGTCTCACTGGTAATGCACCTATTTTTGAATACTGCACTGAATGCAAAAATTCTGAAATATTACAAGTATTGTAATATTTATTATATACATAATACATAAAAATGATAACAATAGTGTTACTAAAAGAATCACAAAATCTTAGTCCAAAGAAAGTCAATGGACCTACATTATTTTGGAAGAAATTGTAGTTTAGAAAGTGACAAATTTCTATAAGTTTTGCTCAGTGGTTCCAAAAAAAGTTATTCTGAAAAATAGATAGATTTTTTCAATAGAGCTTCTCCTGTAGCAGCCTGTCCTGCAGCCAGCCATCTGAGGCAATTTCCTGGTCCACGAAGCTCTTAATGACAATAATCTACTACCAAAACTTTTTTCCACACAGTTATATACTGTACATCACTACAGTATTCAATGTTTTCAAATTTTTCTGATTTATTATCATTATTTATATGTACAAAAGGACATGAAAAGGATACGTGTGACTGCCTTGCTCATATGCACTGTGTATCAGCAAAAATCAAAACTTCAACAACACTGCAAACCAGACACGACAAGGCTGATCTCATCGAAACTTATAAATACTGAACAATTTGGAGGATGTTGATCAAGAGAACTTCGTCAGAAGGTCAGATGTAACACAAACAAGGAGCAACGGTCCTTTACTCAACAAGGCTGAATATAGGACTGAAAACAGATGTTTTTTCACCCATAGGGTTAATAACCCATGGAACCGCCTACCCGCCAAAGCCGTAAATGTCACAACTATGTTGACCTTTAAAATCCAGCTGGAAAAAAATAATCAGGACAAATCGGGGGACCTTTGACAAGCCGCCGGCTTCATGTCCTCGTCCAGTCTACTAGTGTTAGTGGCCCTCAGGTAAACTTAGGTACACTAGGGAGCGTTAGTTATGAGCACAAAAGTCCGTCCAGCACACAGATAAATAATTTACGAGTCCAGTCACAATGTTGAGTGCGTCAACAAGCGAGAGCTCCACTCACGTTGCGCGGCCGAGTAACCTGCATGAAACAAGGAGACGATCCCCGCTAGGAATGCCAGTCTCGCCCAGACGACGGCCATGGTGGTGTTTATGTCGAGCAGCCAGCGACCTCTCCTGGCGCACCGCTACTGGCCAGCTACCTCTCCTGGCGCACCGCTACTGGCCAGCTACCTCTCCTGGCGCACCGCTACTGGCCAGCGGCTTGTTCTCGCACTTGCTTCTGTCAATATTGGCTTATTTAATAAGTGCATATGTGACATACTAATTGATTGTGAATATTTTAGTTTACCTTGAAAAGCGTCATAGAAAACACCGACCTCACTTAACCTTCTTAGTATGTTAAGATAAGCATCTTATTGCTTCTTATTTACAATAATTACTTAACCTATCAACGGTATAGGTTAAGTAATAATTGTAATTAAGAAGCACTAAGATGTTTATCTTAACATACTAAGAAGGTTAGGTTAGGTCGGTGTTTTCTATGACGCTTTTCAAGGTAAACTAAAATATTCACAATCAATTAGCATGTCACATATGCACTTATTAAATAAGCCAATATTGACTGAAGCAAGTGCGAGAACCGCACCGCCACTTGCCAGCGACCTCGCCTAGCGCACCGCTACTACTCAGTAGGATGGCAGGTGGCTGTAGGTAATGAATCCCCCAATGGTGAACATTCCAGCTGTAAACTATGTGAACAAGAGCTGGGATATACTCTCCACCACTATATCTGTGATTGCCCTATTATCAGTGACTTAAGACCAAATGGTATGAGGTACTTTGAGCTCTGTAATTACTTCATACTCTCAAGAATATTGGAAGATATTCTTGTGCGGTACCCAGATTTTGCTAGTGGAGGCTAATATATCAGCCTTACATTTATTCTCTCGTGATTCCACGCATGACTGGCCGTCCTGTGAGGTGGGGATGTTGGATGAGCTTGTAGCTGGTTTTTAATCTAAATTTTTTTATCTGAGAGGAATCTTATAGAAGCTGGTAAAAAGTAACTATACTGTAATATACTATTTCCATGATTTAGTGCTCTTATGAAAGCCGTAAAGTTATCATTTAGTTAAAGCTAATTTATGTTTGTATTGAGGCAAGTATTTTCTCCCCTGATTCCATGTATGACTAACCATCCTGTGAGATGGGAATATTATATGAACCTATAGCTAGTTTTTGATCAACGCTGTGTAATCTTTCATATAGAATATGGTAGCAGCAAATTGCTCTATATACCTAGGTTTAATAAAAAAAAACTGAAACAATTCTTTCTAATATCTCTGTGGCTCATTTGAGCACTTAACTCAGTTAAATTTAAGTGTTATATGACGTAACATCAGTCTAGGAGCCTTTTAAGTGTCAATTGCTTCTATAATTTGTAAATCAACGCTCACAAAAAATAATAATAGTGTTCATTTTACCCAGGAAAATTTTTATATTTAATTTGTAATTAAACATATTCTCAAAATTTTAAACAAATTATAAAATTGTATATGATACGTTTATAAAATAAAACCAACAATATTTATTTATAAAAGAAAAAAGAAAATATATTAATATATTTTAAAATTTACTTTAAAATATTACATAAATTAATCTACTTTGAATTTTTATTTTAACATAAACTTAATATTAACTTTTAAACCGTCTAGGTTTTGATAGAACTTTTATTTGCGAATACATTTTTTGGCGCGCATTATTGCGTTCATTACTAACTATTTAACTAGCGTATGTGTTAGATAATGTTCCTATGGTCTGTTGGGCGTTTGTCCAGCGCTGATATTTCCTCTCATCATCCGGAACCTGTAAGCCTATTTCCCATGCACGTGGGTATCCAAGCCTGATGCGATTTAAGTGTACTTCTGTTGTTCTAATGTTCCCTTTCATCAAACTAAGTGGTTCGTCGTTGGTTGAATTCTTGCACCAGCCCGCAGATCCTGATGTTGCAACTGCTGTGTTGTGGTCACTGTACATCTTTGCTATGCTCTATTTCTACTTTCTTAGTCTGTGGTGTATATAAATGTCTACATTTCTCCGCTTAGTTGCAAGTAAAAAGCCTCAGCGTAGAAAATTTGAGGCCAAAATTGAGGGAGACGGCTACAGGGAAGTCCCTGGATGAAGGGACACCGCGAGCGTAGCTCTCATCTTGTAACTACACTTAGGTAATTACATGCCAATTGGAATGACTAATGGTTAGGTGCCCCGAGGTCACGTGACCACACGGTGTGGCGCGGACAGACGGGGAGGCGCCATTACACCTGTGACGTACTCTCCCAGTGGTTGTGCTCGCGGGGATTGAGCTCTGGCTCTTTGGTTAGGACCAGAGGGTTTGGTCGTGGTACAGGATGTAACAAGGTCAGCTCAGCACAAATTGAGGTTAGTACTTTTTGTAACCGTATGGTCGACCATGCCAGTATGTAGTGATGAATCCCCAGTAAGCCACTTTCTGTATTGTTTTTGTATAAAAGTCGAGAAAAGTAAACCTATTTGTAGGCCTGCTATAGCACATATACTAACACTAGTCATTTTGCCCGAAACGCTGTACGTATTAGTGGCTTTAGGCATTGTAGACTAGCTCTTTCAAGAAATCCAGCATTATGTTTGTAACTCATCTTGTATGTATGTACGTACGTTTACCTGAATAAGCATTTGATTTGATATTTGTACTATATAAAGCCTTAGCGTATATTAGGCCCAGGATGGCAACGTTAGGCTTTATTAGCAACACAAAAAAGTTGTTTCCAAATTGAATACTACAAGTCTACTTTCTGGTGCTCCGTACTGTCGAGCCACAGTTACTATAAGTACATGGGGCTCCTAGTCATTTTCTCGTTACTATTTCTACTTTCATTTTAGGAGGATGGGGCGGTGGGAGACCCCAAGGAAGCTGGCGTGTTACTCCAGTCTTCCACCAGAGCACGGTTACCCTGCAGGGACCGCGAGCTGGCGGCCTCCACTAGATGAGGTCACCATACACAGCTCTCACACACACACACACATACATGGGGAATTACCTTGTTAAGTGACAGCAGGCTGCAATGGCATGGAGCCCCCTCCCCCCTCACCTTATCAAGGAAACATTTACTGATGAGATTTTTAGGCCTAGACTTATTTACCTAAGCAGAGAAAATAAGATACTAGTACACAAGAGTGCTTTGACAGTTTGAGAAATGTTCGCCATAAAGACCATCCTTAGATGTCCCCTAGTACAGCCTTCTTATTATGAGGACCTTATTATTCAAAGTGCAACTGACTGTGACACTAAAATTATTGCTTTAATTGAGATCAAAATGATTGGGCTAATTAATCCACCACAACCCATGCAAAAAAAAACATATTTTAGAACATTTCTAAAATTGCTGTTGAAACCAGATTTTATCTGAGTCACAGTTCTTCCAGAAACAAGAATGATATGTTCCTTTACCGTGGAAGATTAACCCCTTCCAAATTATGTTTCCCCCCCCCCCTTCCCCTCCAAGATGTAAATTAAAGAAATAAATTAAATGTAAAATACAACATTTAAGTCAAAATGGTACTCTACTCTACTGGGAGCCAGTCGGCCGAGCGGACAGCACGCTGGACTTGTGATCCTGGGTTCGATCCCAGGCGCCAGCGAGAAACAACGGGCAGAGTTTCTTTCACCCTATGCCCCTGTTACCTAGCAGTAAAATAGGTACCTGGGTGTTAGTCAGCTGTCACGGGCTGTTTCCTGGGGGTGGAGGCCTGGTCTGGGACTGGGCCGCGGGGACACTAAAGCCCCGAAATCATCTCAAGATAACCTCAAGAAGATATTCACAAAGCAATCCCTCTCTTAAACCATGTGCTGTCCAGTACAGTATTACTATATATTAATTTCTATTAAGTAAATCACAAATATATATTCCAGTATTTGTTACAGCTGTGCAAATAGCAAACTTATCCTTTGATGTACAAAGTGACTTTTTGTACGTGAAATTACATGTGCTATAATAAAAAATTTCCTCAAATTTTATTAGGAAGAAATCTGCAACATATAAGAGAATGTTTTTATTTTGTAAATTTGTTGTTAGAAAAATTACAATGACAATACATGAACTATTAGTGATTCCCTTTTTATTTTTAAAGTACCATTCCTAGTGGAACAAATTAAAACTGGTTACCACAATAGAATCGTGTCAGATGATGTCAAGAGTGCAGAGGAATAACTTTTTCAATATTGACATTAAACATCCTTACAAAACTCCAAAATATGACCATTAAACAATGTGACTGCCTCTTGTCTTCAGTTAGAAATAGATATTACAGCCCACTAGCCGATTGAAAGTGGTACCAATTCTCCTTTCGTGACACGTTCAGCTGATCATCAATATGATATACAAAATAAATTAGGCAATATTTGCCAAATAATCTTGAACTTCTGCTGGAGTAAGTCTACGGAAACCCTTTGAGTTGCAGATACCAATCTCAATGTTGTCGCTGCTCATCTGGCCTTCAAAACTCTCCTTGAGGGTCAATATTGCAGTATGAACAGCATCATCCAGCTCAAGATCTTCATTGTATCTGAAGAAAATATATTGGGTAACAGTGTTAAAAAATGTAAAACTACATAGATAACCATATTTAAACCTATCCATACTCATAAAATAAAAAATAATTATTATAAATGAGGAAAAAATATACAGTACCGAGAAAATCTTTGGAGCAGGATAACAGGATCAAACCAGCATATGGGGTTACCCCAGAGGCACACCCTAACCCATAGTAGGGTTAGGGGTTATTATAATTGTATTGTAATTTCATTGTGTAATATACAGTACTATCTACACTTGATAATCCAGTATACTATTTACAATTACCATGTCCTAGCAGGTCAACATCTCATCAGAATTGCATGCATTCAAAGAAGTTGACTATACAACCTGTCCTACAAAGAATGTCACTTTTTACTTGTACAGGTATAACAAACTTTTTGGCCTTACATAAGGCCAAAAATTGTCATGCTGTACTAGAAAATAGAAGCACAACACCAAATAATTCAATTACAACATTAACTTTTACTCAATAGTTCTACAAAAACACGTACTTCTTTCATACTTTGTCACACCTGTTCTTATGATATGATTGCCACTCTACTCCCTATTTTTACTTCATTTCAGTTTTGTCTTACATAAACCAAGCAATATGCAGTTAGCCTTCCTTTAAAACATTCACCATCTCCATTAATAATTTAATATTTCACACAGCCACAAATACCTGACTATGTTCTCTATGCCAAGGCAGGTGCAGTCCTCAGATCTGATGCCAAGTTTACCCTTTGTCGAGAACAATTTTGGAAACTGGAACCTGTCTGTCTATCCAATAACTTAACGAGGATCAATTGTATTAGTGGCAGCAGAGTTATCACTTCTTAATGCCATGTTATATAAAAAAATAAACACTTAATATTAAACTATAATTCTTACCTTTTCTCAAGGAAAGTTTTTCCATTAATGAAGTTTTTGCCCATGGCTGTAGCTTTCCATGGGAAATAAGCACCAGATGGATCACACTGGAAGAGATAGGGTCTGTCTGTATCCCAGCCACAGATGAGCAGACTCACTCCAAAAGGTCTCACTCCACTGCAATAAATATAGGGAATAATTCACAAAATCTAAATAGGCATCATAAATTAAGCCTGACTAAAAACATTTACTAGTTCAACTATATGATTAGCAAGCAGTCAATGCAGCTGGGTCAAAGCCACAAGGTCCCAAGTTCAATTCCCATTGCAAAGCAGAAGTATTTGTACCTTACTATATGCAGTACCGAGTTATCCACACTTCCCGTTTCCTCCCACCATGTTCACCAACATTGTTCTCGGTCTTTCTCCTCTCAAATTAATTTGAATAGATTCACTTCATTAGTCTAACATAATATACAGTACTGATTCAATTTATCCAACTATCTCTGTATGCTCTCCTTGCCATTTCTTGAGTTTTGCTTGCCACTTCTTTCCATGACATTTTAATTCCTTAATCAATCTGATGTCACACATGCATCTTGGATAGTTCATTTGTACTGCTCTATTTTTTTTAATTTTCCACATTCATACCACAGTAGAATCTCTCAACCAAACAAGTACCACTACCACTTCTACATACAGACTTCCGATTACATATTTTTATCATATTTTGTGATAACCACTTTGGGTTCTTTGCGATGGCTTTGAATACCCTGTAAACAATACGTTAATAGTTAAGAACAAAGGGGTAACATAATTAACACACATACTGTATATCATACATAGGTTCAGAGATCCTGAACAAAAAACCAGAACAATAGAAATTGTACCACATATATAGTATTAGGCAATAAATTAATGAGCATATGCAAATAATTTAGTGTATTTTTAGAGTGATATTATTTAGAAGAGCCATTTGCCGAGAAAAATGTATCTCAATACTATGTGAATGAACTAAAAATGATAGCAAAAGAGCAAAATGCAGTTAACTTATTTTATGCATAAGGTAAGTGGATGAGATATTGCAATGCTTCACCCATACTAATACATAGCCTTCCCGGTTTGGTGCCTTCTTTTGATAATTACTTACTTACTTACTCACCCATACTAATCGGATGCAGTAGCACTAACAGGAAATATGGCTTTCCTATGATTTAATACACATACTACTCAATATACAATATGTAAGCTTTAGTAGGCAGAGTTGATATGAAAGGTTACAAACGTACCCAGTCTGTGTGTATTCCTGCATTATAGCTGCCAGACGCTGAACCAGCTGTGTAGTAGGGATCGACTCCAGGTATGTTCGGAAATACTGTTGTGCAACTTTCCGAGCCTGACGAACCAGCAGGCGATAATCTGGACCCATTCCTGCAAATTTCAAGCTGCATGAGCTTAACACAAACATTTATCAGAATTCTAGATGCCTATATTACCTAGTACAGTACTTGTATACTATGCTGCACTGTTAATGTGAGCAAAGATTAATCATGTCTGGAAACTGGGTAATAAATTGAGTTAATTTCCAATGATGCATTTCCTTTATTCATAAAAAGCTATAGGATCTAAATCTGGGAAGGATTGCCTTTAACAGCTTTTTGGCATCACTTTGTATTTTCAAATCAGTGTTTAGTATTATTAACTCCCTATGACAGCAAGTCTCGGAGAGGGAGGCCATAACACAATAGCTTTCAGGCAGCTAATGTCTAAATACAGCAAAATACAGTAGCTTGTTCTATTTCTCTTTAATTCTTACGTGACCTTACATATTTCCCAACTGTGTCTTTTCAGAATGATGTCACGGGTACAGTATTTGCATTCCCATCACTTAGGATGCAAGTTGCAAGAGCACAACAACGCTTGGAACAAATAGCTGGTAAATAAACACAGTATGTTCTCTTATTCCTGAAAATATCTCTCTCGACTCGTATATTTATCACTTTCACATCTCTCTCCTGTAGCTGACAGAGCCAAAATCCTTAATTTAAAGTTTAAAGACAGTAAGTTATTTTACTCTATTCAATAATACAGTATTCAGGAATAAGTATTTGGTTTCCTGTCAAGAATATGGATAATTTTGTTAAATGCCTCAAAAGAAGAGATACACAAGGCTTAAAAGCCTATGAAAAGAAAAGTTTTAATTCATATTTCTTTGATTTTGTATTAAAAATATGTACTTTACATAATCATAAGCAGACTTAATATAACAAAATTCATTCTGTTCACTTAAAAAACTAGAGGGAATTAAGTATAACCTAACCACCTGAAAAGACAATATATTAAGAAATTGAAAGTACAAATCTAATGACAAGTGAAGAATATTATTTGATCTTTCATATGAAACAAAAAGATAAAAACAGCAGCGAAGAAACTCAGACGGAAGAAACGAAGTAGCTACACTAGAGGAAGCATTACATACCACTGTAGACCATGCCTATGTGGTCTGTGATCATCTCAACCTTGATGATAGAGTGCTCCTCAACCAAGATAGATTTGTGCTTCTTTTCTGTAGCCAAAACAACACCATCTTTGGCTTTAATACCTACTGCTGGAGCTCCAGCAGCCACTGCTGCAAGTGCATATTCTATCTGCACCAACTTCCCTGAGGGGCTGTAAAAGAAAACAATTAAGTTATTTAAATACAGTAACAACAAGGCACACAACCAAAATAAAAAATAGATAAACTTTTCTGTAAGTACTGTAAATACAGGACTGTAATGTGTGGCTACTTTTTGTAGATTTCTTTGTTGCCTGCCTGAACAGCCAAACTGTTCTTGTTTGCAACATGTATGGCAATAAATATTACACCCTATAATTAATCAGAAACATAACCGACCTAAAAATCTCAAGCCTCATCGTTTGTATTCACTTAACCAAAATACAACTTTACACTTCAGTCACCAAATGTATTCACTGCATGTTGTGAACACTACTGTAATATGCTTGAAGTTGATCCAGCTCTCAAAAGCACATTTTACTTAAACTGGGAATTAACCAATTCTAGGAATATATTTCAGTAGGCCTACAGTATTTCAGTTTCTTATTCCATCTCTTGTTAAAATCAAATATATTGTTTAGTTAGGCTGGGGTAGTTTTCGATTGGTTGAGTTAAGTTAGGTTAGGCTAAGTTTTAAAATCCATTGGTGAACTGTTTACAGTGCGAAGCGACCTTTATCGTTTTTTAACGCAATACCGTATTAATATCTCCTTTGTTATAACCTTTTATTCATTTGTACACTTCAGTCTTGTCACTGCTAACTTTTCACCTTTCTACAGACTGCAACTTAATCTTTTTTATTCTCTCTTCATATGAAAAGGTTCAAATTCCTGGGAATAAATATGTTATCCTTCTCTGAACTCGCTCAAGTGAATATTCTGTAGTATGGCGACCAAAACTGAACTGCATGGTCTAATTTGCCCATTTCAAAAGCCTACCTACATCTCCTTGAAGCATTTTTTGGGTCTTCTGAATATATTTCATGCCCAATTTTGGTAGTCCCAAAAATTTGCAAAGAATTTTACTTTTCTGAGATAAGAGGTGGAAGTTCCCTGGCCTGCAGGACTCTTAGGGTACAGTGAGGACCCACCACTTCTCCAACCCATTTTAAAACCTACCTTACCCAACTAAGTAATCTAACAGTTTTTGGTTTTAGTATTAAGGATACGAATTGTCTGAATATTTTCTGAAAAGTACAACCTATAGAAGCATAATCAGAGGGTTTTAATTACACAAAATCAATATAATTCCATTGACTCAAAACATGCCAGTCACCTAAGGACCCATTATAGTCACGCGCCTTCTGCTAAGATTTCGCAGATAAAACACTCCTGAGATTAAAAATCGTACATGCCTAAAAGCGCTTCACCCTTCACCCGTGCATATTTATCATTTTGTTAAGTTGCAAGTGGATTATTTACCTGAAAGTAGTCAGGGAAAAACTGTAACGCTCCGTGGCCATGGTTGATGCAGAGTTGTGGGTCGGTTGTGGTCCGGGACGCCGGCGGACCCAGCCACAGCCCGCGTCCGGATGCCTTCACACCTCTAAGATGGTACAGTTTATAACCTAATTTCATATCTTTTACATTTTTGATTTAATAATTCTTTATTGAAAAATATAAACTTGAATTTTATTTAATGCTTTTATGCTATTTTTAAATAAAATTATGCATATTGTAGCAATTTATATTTATTTATTATATCTCATAAGTCAAATAGAACAAAATTTAAAAAATAAAGAAAACGTAAACAAAATATAGGGTTTATATAGCTGTTTTTGAAATAAAATTAATCTAACAGACCCTATATGGGTTTCACATAACGTGATGAACCAGAGTTTCGGTTGTACTGGAGGTAATAATATGTTTGCGCAAATTCAGAGACAATTCTATAACAAATGTTCCAGAGATGTGTAAATATTTCATTCAAAATGATCTGCTATCATAAATCTCTGCCAAATATCCCCAGTTTGCTAACTATAGGTAGTAACTATGTGATTATAACCTATCCACGGCTGCCCACTGGATGGGCGGCGGTGTGCAGGACAAACATATCAATTGTGACACTAGCTCTCCACATATGTCAGTTGCTTAATTTAGAAACTGTACTTGTGGTCGATCTCGAACCCATTGTTGATGTGACGATGTGAATTGAATTTTGTTACTAGCTCATCAAGATTGTAACTTAACTAAATTAATGGTGGGGTTCAGTCCCTGAGCCCATTATGTGCCTTTGAAACCCTTTCCACTACCGCCCACAGGATGGTGTATGGTTAAGCATAATAAATGAACTAAACTAACACAGCCTTTGCACAGAGTTTTAACATTGCAACCCTAGGCATTTCTACTTGGGTCCCTGCAGTACAGTCGGGTTAGTTCTCCACGCACAATCAAGAATTCCGGGTTCGAATCCCGGTCGGAACAGAAATGGTTGAGCTCATTTCCTAGCAATTACTTTAGAAATAATGTAGCATCTACTTAGATGTGGCAGGAATTAGACGTACCACAAGGACATCAAGTAGTTTCCCATCAACCAATTAACGAGCAACGTTGGTCTAAATCGTCAGGTGGACTGGGACATAAGGTCGTCTGACTACAGCATCAGGCTGCTCTTGTCGTACCAGGCATCAACCACCGCTGTAACCATTTATTATATCAAATCTGCGTTTGGTTACCATATTGCGTTTATAGTCCAAATCTGACGTTACAATTCCTTTAATTTATTAATGTTCTTCCTGATTTGTTCCGCGAGTTATGGGTACGTCGCTTAATTCACTCATGTCCTCGATTGTGGGTCGAAAACGATAACATTTGACCACCTTTGTTCCCTATTTGAGCAAACACTAACTGCCTCTCCACAGACACAATGAATTATTATTATTGTGATTTATACTATTGCTTTTAGATCACCCTTAATTATTGGTTCGTTTTCTTTGGTTACTGTCCGTTTTCTGTCATTGCTTACTATAGGGGTAACGTAGTTAGATATCTATTTGTCCTCTTGTCACGAACTTAGAGATTCCTCCAAATTAATATTTATTTAAAGAGATACATAAATGTCTTGGGTAGTTGAACAAAAAATCACGTGAACAGTAGGGTTCCGTCTATTAGCTTTTTGATATGTATATATGGTACCTAGTACATATTCTTAGGTCCAGTTAAGGTACTTGTGGATTTTCTTAGATCCAATTAAAGTACCTGTATACATTCTTAGGTCCAGTTAAGGTCCCTGTACATATTCTTGGGACCAGTTAAGGTCCCTGTACATATTCTTGGGACCAGTTAAGATAATTGTACTCATTCTTAGGTCCAGTTAAGATAATTGTACTCATTCTTAGGACCAGTTAAGATAATTGTACTCATTCTTAGGTTCAGTTAAGAAGCAAAGTAAGAACTTGTAATTTGGCTGTTGAGACACACCTAACACATCACAATCCGTTAAAAATACGATGTATTAGTTCACCTTAAAGCACCGTAATATTGACGTTTTCTATACATCGGCCTCGACAGGTTAGGTGGGTTGCTTGGGTTGGTACGTCGGTGGTAGAGCCATCAGCAAGGAGGCCCTCGGGCTGGTGCTTGAGTGGGGGGGGGGGAGGTCTCCCTCGTTATGTTATAATTACTGCCGAAGGAAACTATGATTAACAACCGAATTGGGAAACCAGCTCATCTTACAGCTTATCAAGAGAGAACTGGATAAGCACCTCCAAAGGATACCTGATCAACCAGGCTGTGACTCATACGTTAGGCTGCGAGCAGCCGCGTCCAACAGCCTGGTTGATCAGTCCGGCAACCAGGAGGCCTGGTCGACGACCGGGCCGCGGGGACGCTAAGCCCCGGAAGCACCTCAAGGTAACCTCAAGGTAGGTAAGGTACATACTGAAGAATCAAACCTGGGGGGACTGTGTAAGTGTTGGGAGGGCATGACAGCCACTCAGCCACCAGTACACCCGCCCGTGGCACTAATAAAGTGGTCCAGTAGAGGGCGGCCAGAAATCAATACAGCCTCTAACGCCCCCCTCCCATCCCCTCCCATCCCCTCCCATGGCACCCCTCACTAAATAGTTACACATCATTTCAGCTCCCATATTTCTCCGTACGTCGGGGTTCGTAAATTTCCCCAGCATCGTAGTAAATCTTCACTCGAACCTGTTCAGGTACTTGGGCCGGGAGGAGACCCGCCGCCAGCCATATTTTGTGATAGCGTGATGAAGGCACAGAAATTAATATATATATATATATATATATATATATATATATATATATATATATATATAAGGGGGTACCACCTCTAGTGCAATTGTAGGGACCCACAAACTCGAAGAAGGGAACACAGATAGATAGATATGATAGAGCCCAATAGGCTCAGGAATCTGTACACCTGTTGATTGACGGTTGAGAGGCGGGACCCAAGAGCCAAAGCTCAACCCCCGCAAACACAACTAGGTGAGTACAGAGTATTCAGAGAAAAACTTGCCATTTGACTCTGAATACGTATGAGTGTTCACTTCTCCTGCCACCCCCCTTTTTTATGTTGTATACTTTATTATACAAGGTTATACAGTTACATATGTGATTTTTACAAAAAAGGGAACATTAAGAGGAAATAAGGGGAAGTTTCCTAGAGGCTATAGATTTCTTCGAACTCCTCCGACGCCGGGCAGGAACCGAGGATGCAGCGGGCATTCCCCCTCTGGATCGCGACACTGAGGCGCTGGAAAAGAAAACTTGCCGCTTTAGAGTCTCTGCGAGTGTCAATGAGCTTGGAACCAAGATCCTTAAGAAACCTTCTTGCGCTCTCTCCCCAAGGACCTTGGGTCTCACATCCTATTGGAACGAAGTTGTACTGGTGATTTATTTCCCTGTACTTGGTTGACTTCTCCCTTTCTCTCTGTGTTCACTGCGGCACTTGCTTGGCCGACAGAGAGGCCAATGTATGTGGTTGCCAGGGTGGATACACAAGTGTAGTCCCACGCCAACTGTCTGCCACCCTTCTACGTGTGTAGTGTGACTCCATCTGGTCGATCGGCAAAGATAGCAGAGTTACGGTTCAATAGATTGCGGGTCTCTCTCTCTGCTGGACACTGGACAGTGGCAAGGCTCATATTAATGATGTCATTGACTTCGTCATGTCAAAAGTGCCAACCGCCAGATTTATATATATATATATATATATATATATATATATATATATATATATATATATATATATATATATATATATATATATATATATAAATGCATTGTTCATCACTGCATTCTCATTGATGCATTGTTCATCACTGGTTCTCTCCATGACCTCACACGAGGTCAAACTAACTAGCTGGATGTGACCTCACAAGGGGATGGTGGTCGTTGTGCTGGTAGAGGTGGTGGTCGTGGTGGTGGTGGCAGGGGATGGTAGTAGTTACTTTGGGCGTGAACCCTTTTTTTCTGGACCTTCCGGCCCACTCGTTGTAGCGGCCTTGAGGCGCTGGTGTCTTTGTCTTGCGGCATATTTCATGTTCAGCCTTGCTGCTGTTTTCCTCGTGCTGTGCCTCGTTTAGTGGGAAATTCGAGTACGCAGGCGATGAGTCACAATAACGTGGCTGACGTATGTTGACCAGACCACACACTAGAAGGTAGTAAATAATAAATAAATAAGTAAATGTTTATTCAGGTAAGGTACATACATACAAGAGATTTTTACAACAATTGCTAGGTTTATAGATAGCGCTGATACATACAATGCCTAAAGCCACTATTACGCGAAGCGTTTCGGGCAGATATGCAAATTTAGGTGATAGGGACATATAAGGTGAAGGGACGGAAGGTAATATAAGGTGGTATAAGATGAAGTGATATAAGGTGAAGGGACGACGACGTTTCGGTCCGTCCTGGACCATTCTCAAGTCTCGACTTGAGAATGCTCCAGGACGGATCGAAACGTCGTCGTCCCTTCACCTTCTAGTGTGTGGTCTGGTCAACAAATTCGAGTACACCTGGGATATGTGTGTGTGCAGCATTTGACCATTGCCCAGAATGCCACCCACAACAGTCGACTAACACTCCTAATCACTGCTGGGTAAACAGAGGCAATGGATATAAGGAGACTTGCCCATACGTCTCTCCCTGCCTGGGATGGTGGTAGGGATGGTGGTCGTTGTGCTGGTAGGGGGGGGGGGTGGTAGTGTTGGCATGGGGGTGGAGGCGGTTGGGTCCACCTTAGGAATTCCAATATTGTATAAAGTGGCCTGGCCAGCCCGGTGGTCAAAAAGTATCGGAATTTTTCGTTTTTCCGGCTGTTCGGATGGAACCAACCAACAGGCGTTCAACAGAGTTTTAAAAATTTCCGGCTATATAGATAAGAAAATACATTCGCTCTTTTAAGATGTTCCGCTTTAGTTTCGTACTAATTAATTCCCCAAAAAAATGCAGATCAGTCGAAGCTTCAATTCCTTAAGTATTCAGTCACTGTATATAAGAAAACCGAACGAAAACGTTTAAGCAATTCATTACTTCAAGAAGTCTAATATAACCAAATAGCGGTTAGACTGTTTTAATCATCCAACCATTG